AAAACTAGAACTATTTCTGGAAGAATAGACCATCTGTTCTTAATATTACAAGTCCTTCCACCTTGCATTTAAAGCTTATTTTCTGGAGGCCAATTAAATGCCAAGACAACGACTGAGTAGCACCAATAACATCGCTGGCAGTGTTCACAACCTAAGTTGCTTTCGCGCACCCTCTGCTTATCCAGATCTCGGCCAGGCGGAAATCGAGCCACGTCTGGACTGGAGTAAATTCTTTCCATTCGTCCCGCGACACTTTTTTTATTATTTTTTTTACGGAGATCGGCATCTGGATAAGTTCGAGGGTGAGGAATTGCATACAGATATTCAAGACATGAAGGCATAATGAGATACTTATGAATGAAGCAAAAATGCAGTGGAAAATCTTGACTTTTTATCATTATTTGTTTTGGCTTGATTTAAGCTTTCTTCTGAGCAAGAGATACTTCAAAACACCATCTTTATAAACCTCTTTCTTCCACTGCACGATTGATAGTGAGACAACAGAGATAAATGATGTTAATAAGAAAAAACTGCAATAAGTGATGAACTGTAAAACATCACAAAATTTTGAACCCTTTATCATGGAATAATTGTATTAAGCATCAGCTTCGTACTGTTTAGCGCCGACCTTGGCCAGCTTCCTAGCCTCATCATTACCGACGATTCCTGATTTTGCCTTCACGTGAATCTGAAAAAAAAAAAAAAAAAAAAAAAAAAAAAATATAGTTATTATACGTGTTATTGAAACATTCCTTCCGACATACCTTCATTTTTTTTTTTCTTAGCACTTGAAATGTACATATCATCAAATGTAGTTATGAAAAATCCTCTTAAAATTGAGTTATTAACCTAAGCTGCAAAAATGTAACTGATTATAAAGTCTAGCATGTGTTTGATATCTCCATTCAACATCTTCCAATAGCGAGAAATCCTAAACTCATTTCTACTCACCCATTTCACGGCGAGTCCTTCCGTAGCCTTATCCAGTTCGATCAGTTCTTCCTTGTTCTTCACGGACTCTCCGTCGCTCTTCTTCCAGTCCTTCTTTTTCCAGTTCTTCAGCCATGAGGTCATGCAGTTGATCATGAACTGTGAGTCGGTGTGGACTGCCACCTTTTCGTAACCTTTTGGATATTCAGATGCAATATTTTACTTTGGGGGAATGTGAAGTTAAATCTATCCAATTAATCCTGTAATCCTGTACATTTACCAATAATGAGTAAATATATGCTGAAGACCATAGTGTATATATATCACAAACAGGTTGAAAACAATACACTGACTTTTTGCCATTATCTACTTGTGATCACTGACAAGTTTTCAGTCTGTGAGTGTATACAATGTGGTTCCTAACATGGCTTTGTGACATGTTTTACTGTTTGCTCTTTACTTTGGTAAATAAAACAACTGGGAGCAGGGATACATGGCAAATCACTAAACTGGCATTGCATGACCTCACTAAAAGCTGATATGAGGGTAAGGTACCCACACTTTTGCTAAATCAGTAGTTTAGGAGGTCCATCCATATCAGGTTAACATAATGTTTTCAATTTTCTATACTTTTTTCATGACCAAAGAAAAGTGTATACAATTTGTGGAATAAATGTGAGCAGGTTGCACAAGATAAAGAAATCTCAAAAACTAAAAACGAAAAGAAAAGAAAGGAAAAAAAGAAAGAAAGAAAGGAAGGAAAAGAAAGAAAGAAAGAAGTTCAATGAAATGATTTCATAATAAAATCATGTAAATCAACTATCATGGAAGGAAGGAAGGAAGAAAGAAGTAAAAGTTATATATCACCTGTAAAAGAGTCAGGGAAGTAAAATTTAAATTAAAATATTACACATTATCTAACTTGCAAATGATACTTACCAGCAGCTTTAGCAGTTATGAGTGCATGAGTGGCTGCCTGAATATCTGCTGCGTTGTTGGAGGCTTTCCCCTTCAAAGGCACGGACACATTCCTGAAGCATGATTTGCCTTGGCTAATTAATTTGACCGTGGGCCCTCATAAGTCTATCCTTGCTATCTTTATCCCTCCAGAATATTACATGATTATTAGGACCCAATTAAAATCAGTGTCACTATTTTTATAAATGTTCTATTACATCTTATGCATAAATGTATTCACACATGGATGCACACATGCGTGCGTGCGCAAATGCATACACACACACACACACAAAATGAAATACTGAATATTTACGTCAATAGAAATAGCTATATTAGCATTACACTCTTTTTTACAATGCGCCTGTTGAGCCATCATAAAACAGAACTTCTTACCGCTCATGATCCTCGGCAAAGAAGACGCCGCAGCCAGACTTCTGCCCGCTCTTCCCATGGAACTCGCACACTCCGACAGAGTAAACCACAAGGTAGCCTTCGTCGTCTAAAGATAAGCCATCCTCAGATTTCTTTTCTCCTTCGTCCACGTGCAGTTTCTTCTCTCCTTGGGCTTCCTCTTCTTCCTCGTCGTCATCTCGTTTTCTTTTCCCTTCTG